TGACATTCTAATTTATTGAGATGCACCTGTATTATATATTATATATTTATATATTGTGATTATATATTATATAATGATAATTACCTTTTGTATTTCTTTCTTTTTTTTTTAATCAGTGGCGGAAACGGGCTTCCATAGTCTCCTGTGTGTTAAATATTGGATAGTTAATACAGTAATAAATAAAGCATGATGTTCAATGACGTTCAAGTTATTAATTCTGATAAAACATTTTAATGTCATTACCTTAAGATGAATTATAGAAGTGTGAATATTGATGCAACGCATTCCACTGACAAAGAACATTCAGATTATAATATGGGATCATTCCAAAAAGAGACATAGAGAGACATTCTCACATACTGTCATATCTTATCTTATCTTATCTTTGCTTGCCGAACAATATGAACTATAAGTTGTGAAGAAACACCCTGAAGTTGGCCTGACAAGTTCAAAGCAAAAATTTGCCTTTTATTTATTTTTTTAATTTGAAATGAGAAGGTTATGTGTTGTTTTGCAGCTGTGTCTGATCCACGTGCCAGTCAGCTGAAGCATGCTGGAAGAATGCAGCCTATAACCAGAAGAGATGCCGGAGTCTGGCATCAGACGAGGAGCCTGCTCTACAAAAACCTGCTGATCAAATGGAGGACCAAACAACAGAGTCTCCAGGTGCCTTTCATCTGTCACTCACATGCTTTCTTCGCCCCTCTAAATCTGTTGCACTATTAAAGCTTTGCACATCTCTTCTCTGTTCTGGTATTGAGCTCCTTCTGAAGTTTGTACAGCATAAGCTTCTCAAGGAATTCTTGGAAGTGACCATTTCAATCCAGGGGTTTTGCAGGTTTTAAAAAGGTCTTAAAGCCTTAATTCACCCTTTCACAAATCAAAGTCTTAAATCATAGCAGAAAGTCTTAAATTCATAAAATCATGGCATTAAATGTTGCATGCATTGTAAAAATTAATATCTTCCTCAGTATTTGTGTCTTGTTTTCGACTGCAAATGTCTGAATATTAGGGATGCTCCGATCGATCGACCGGAGATCGGTATCGGCCGATAATCACATTTTATGACTCGATCGGTAGTCACTAACTTGGCCGATCTCACGAACCGATCGCAATTTGATGACGTCAACGCGTGACGACGTACATGATGCGTGGGGACATAAATGATTTGGCGCCACAGTCATGTCATCGCCGGTGTGGAAATGCTATGACGTTTCTAGGAACAATTAAAAATTCGCTATTTGTCGTGTATGTTTTGCATGATGATATGATGAATGGATGGTTCATTTTTAACAGCAGATTCAGTGACGTTAGAGCTGATCCTGCGCCTCACTGCACACGTCTGTGGCGCGTTACCGCTCTATGGGAACCAGAGCTGATTGCGGCCGCTCTAATGCTTGTGTTTATACCTTATACCGGACAGCCGCGGCACGTTTCTGAAGCGGCTATCCACACTGCTTCAGCTTGGCTAAAAATAGTATTTTGTGAGTTGTCACAGCGTGGAGGACGGAACAAAACCTCGTCGGAGCCGTAAGGGACAACGGTAACATAACACTGATCGTGGGCTGCTTTTAAATGAACATTTATTTATAAAACAAAATATCTTCTTTGGCCATATTAGCCTACTCAATAGCATTAACACAGGCTTTACTCCTTTCAAA